CCCCCCTCCCTCCACCCCCAAGAGCCACCCCCCCGCCCCGCTCCCTGACACCCCCCACCCCATCCCACCTCCCTCCTCTCCCAGCACCGCTTCCCAGTTCCTCCCAGTCGCTTCCCAGCGCGATCCTTACTCTTGGCGGGGATGCTGGGGCTGCGCCGGTGCCCGGCGGCGGTGGCAGCGATGCGCAGGAGCGGGCAGGGATCGGGCAGCGATCAGGGATCGCAGCCGGGCGGCCGCTCCCGTCCGAGGGGTCTCATCTCATTTTGTCCTGTGTCACCAACACACGCACGCACACCACACACACACCACACACACACATTCGCAGCCACGTTTCCCCCCCCTTCTTGCGGCAAACGGCGGCCAGCCCCGACCCCACCCCCTGTCACAGCAGCAGCCTAACAGCGAGGGCCGGGAGGATGGAGGAGGATCTGCTCGCCTTCCCTTTAACTCTTCCCTCGCCACCCCCCAGGACAGGGCTCTGTCCCCGTGGACCTGTCTGGGGATGCTGGGGTGCTGCTTGGAGCTCACTCACCTTGTGGCCTTCCCCCACAGGGCGCCGGGGCAGGGGATGTTTGGGGTCCGCTGGTTCCCCCGCAGCCTCATCGCCCTCGTGCCCCCCAAAAAAGAGCCCTGGAACAGAGCTGAGCCCTGCCATCGCTCCAAGGGGTGTCTCGGGGGCACGGCTGGGGTGTGAGGGGCACGGGCAGCCCCAGGGTGACAGACAAGGCTGGGAACCAAATCTGTCTGCCTGTATCCACTGTGAAAATCCCATTTTGGTCCCTATTTCCCCCCATTTCCAGGAGCAGAGCCCTTTGGGGTGGAGGGGGCACTGAACCCCTGGGGGTCTCCAGAGCGGGGGGGATGGGAATGAAAAATCAGTGTGGGAGAGGAAAGAACTTTTCCCATCCCACGGAGAATCCAAGGATCTGAGCTCACTGGGGGGGAGGGGGCGGGGGACAATCTCCCCAAATTCCCTCTTACACGAGAGAAAAAGGGATGACATGAGCTGAAAAAGGGACATCCAAATGGCCAGGGACTCCAGCTGAAGGCAGGGCAGCTCCTGACTGCAACATTGCTCGGAGCTGTCTTCTCCAAGGAGAAATGACAGGTGCCAGAAGGAGAAGGAAAAGCTCATGATGCTGTCCATGGAGAGGTTGGTGGCACCTGTCCCTGCTCCCAGCTTCACCCCAGCACTGGGCTTCCTGCAGCAAGTTTAGGTCCTGAAACACACTCTGCTTCTCCCCTTGGCCTTTCCATGGATGTAGGGAGGTTACACCCTCCTGCTCATCTGTCGGGAGAGCCAGGGGGGAGGAAAGAGGCAGGAATTGCTGCCACTGAATCCTGCAGCTTTCCAGTGAAATGGCAGGGTGGGTAATTAATTATTGCTGATTATTAATAGTGCCGGACAGGCCCTCGGCTGCACCCCCAGGACCGCAGGCTGTGAGCATCTCCCTGCACAGGTTGTTGCTGACAGCGCTCCAGGGGCTGTGTGTGATCCTGCTGGGATGGAAAGGGCAGCTGAGGCTCCCTGATTTACTTACAGCCTTTGAGAACCGGGATTAGACCGGCTGGGCAAAGCCACTTCTGCTGTGGGTGGGATTCTGCTGCTTCCCACCAGCACTGCCAAGCCGTGGAGCAATTTTAGTCCTGCATGGACGGACAGCTGAGGGGGTCCTGTCCTTCCTGGGCAGCCTGGTCTGCTCTGAGCCTGCAGTGCAGCCCCTTTTGGGGGTCATCGAGGGTAGGAGGTGTCCTACAGGGAGCTCGTGCAGCTTCTTGTGCTGCTCCAGGTTCAGATGAAGCCTGCTCCATTGTCACCCCACCACACCAGGAGTGAGCACCAACGTGGAGCTGCATCTGATGGGAGATGAACTCCAGCTGCCGTCTGCAAGGGGCACTGGAGCTCTCCTGGACACCCTGAGGGGATGGACAGGGAGCCTGCAGGTGTCCCCCTACCCAACATGGGTCATGCCTAGGCTGGGGCAGGTCCAGTTTTGTAGCTGAGAATCAGAATCACAGAATCATTTAGGTCGGAAAAGACCCCTCAGATCACTGAGCCCAAAAGTTCACCCAGCCCTGCTAAGAAGAGATGCTCTGATGGTGTTACAGCTCCACCAGGCCAGCCCAGAATCCTGTCCCCAGCTGCAGCTGTCTGTGGACACCCAAGGAAGAGCACAGCCGGACAATCCTTCGCCTTGGCATTCTCCAGCAGCTCCAAGGGAGAGGTTTCTGCCAGGTCCAGACATCTCTGGGAGCTGAGAACCCTCGATGTGCTGTGAGTCCATCCCCACTGCAAGGTTCTGCGTGCTTGGGTGGGTTGAAGCCCCGAGCCTGTAGGACACCCCCCATTCACCCTCCCATTCCAGTCTCTGAGCCTTTGGATGAGGATTATCCCGAGACCAGCACTGGGGCTGCAGGATTTTCACTCTCCCCCTCTACACCAATCCCTCTCCCAAGTGCTTGCAGATGCAGATTCCCTGTGGCAGGCTGGGATGGACCCTCTTTCCAGAGGACAGCACTCTGCCCCTACCCCTCATCCTCATCCCAGCCCTGCCAAAACCCCGAGTGGACTTTGTTTTCCTTTATTTGCCGCGTGTTTTGTGTGCCTCGCTGTGGTTATCATGCTCCAGCCGTCAGCTTGCAGCGAGTCCCCGGGAGAAGGTGCCAACTTTAACATATGCCTGAACAGTTCTTTTCAGACATATACAAACTGGAACAATGCCTCGCTGGGAATATGCTTGTTGGTGCAATTTGCCAACTGTGGCTTCGGATCTGCTCTTTTCAGCACGCACCAACTATTTGTAGACGGTGCAAAAGCCGGGATCGCCGCTCACGGATGGGGTCTCTGGAAAGCTCTCTCCAGGCATGCAGGAACCAGCAGGGGAGACAATCAAGGGCTGGGCAAAGACCCCTGAGTATCACAAATAATGATCAGACCAAACATTTTGCTCCTGAGAACCTCAGTCCTTTTTCCCTTTGCTTTAGGAAAGCCAGTGCTGATTTCTCCACTACCTGGACCTCTCTCACCTTGTGCGTGCAGGACTTTGCTCAGCTCACCCCATTTCCTGGGTTCAAACATCTCCCAGTGCTTCCTTCTTCACTGGTGATCACCCTTCAGGTAGGACATCATCGGGATGTGACTCTGGTGCCACTCAGGGTGTCACTACTCTGTCACACCCTTGGAAAAAAGGACTGACTGACCTTGGCTGGACATTCCCTGAACTTCTTCCCGTGGGTTTGTAGACAGCATGGCCATGTTTGAAGGAAATCTGGGAAGATGATAAGCAGGTGGGGCTGGGGCTGTGTCCAGGGAGATGGCCAGGCTTTCCAAGTGGGCAGTGAAGGCCTGGTGGCGATGAGGCAGAGGAATTTTCCCCCCAGCACCGATGAGGACGCAGCTCTGCCCTTGCCCACGTGCCAGCCTTCATCTTGCAAACCGCCAGGGCAGGGATCCTCGCCCACAGAACCCCCTCTCAACGGGCAGTGCTGGATGTGGAGGTGGCCACGAGCTGGCCCAGGAGCGGGAGGGTCAGTGCTTGAACTGCCTGTTCCCCGTGGAGGGCTGCCAAAGAGATAGCAAATCATCAAGGGACCATTGTTCATAGCAACCTCGGTGGAAATATTTGTGTGTGTGTGTGTGTGTGTGTATGCTGGCATCCAATTTGGCAATGGTTACTCAGCACAAGTGGGCGGCCTGTCCCTTTCTCTCAGCTGGAGCCTCCTCCTCCTCACAGGGACCCAGGAGAGGGATGAAAGGAGAGCAGATGGTTTGGGGGTGCTCAGAAATACCAGTGCCAAGGGCTGTCTCATCATGGCAGGCTGAACATGCTCAAGACCAAGGAGGTCTCTCCAAGTAATGGGGAGACGCAGGAGGTCTGTGAGCAATTCTTGGGAATGTTGGTTTTTGGATTGATGATTGGATTGTGAGGAGAAGGAGCAGAAACTGAGATCTTTGGGGTACCATGCGAACAAGAAGAGATCTTTGGGGTATGGGGTTCTGTGTCAAAAATTCTCTTCACAAGTCCAAAAGGATTTGAAGGATGCTGGAGATGGACTTTGGGCAAGGGATGGAGGGACAGGACACAGGGAATGGCTTCCCACTGCCAGAGGACAGGGATGGATGGGATATTGGGCAGGAATTGTTCCCTGTGAGGGTGGGCAGGCCCTGGCACAGGGTGCCCAGAGAAGCTGTGGCTGCCCCTGGATCCCTGGAAGTGTCCAAGGCCAGGCTGGACATTGAAGCTTGGAGCAGCCTGGGACAGTGGAATGTGTCCCTGCCATGGCAGCAGTGGGATTAAATGACCTTTAAAAGACTTTTGCAACCCAAACCAATCTGTGATTTTATGCAGTGGGGACACTGCTGGCTTTGCTAGGGAGAAGCCTCAGGGCTTCCTCCAGGTGAAAATCCAGGGATACCAGCCTGGTGAGCTGGCCAACGCTCCAGGTTCTCTCCTCTCACAGCACCACACCAGATCTGTCACAGCCCTTTCACAGAGAAATCCCCATTGAAAGCTTCCCTGCCGCTCTCATCCCTGCAAAACTGAATGGAGAGATTTGTCCTGACCTCCATCCCCCTCCACAGCTCCCGGCATTTCGTTTTTTCCCCAAAGCAGCACTCTGCTGCTAGAATCAGCTGAGATGAAACCGAGCTGGCTCCTACACACCTTGGAGCTCAGGCAGGGCTGCTTCCCACACAGTGTCTTTCACCCAAATTAAACAGCTCCCAGCTGAGCCCTGCCATCCATCATGCCAAGCTGCAGGCACAGCTCGGGTTTGGCAGCTTTTACACCTCTGTGGGTTCACGTTTAGAGGGGAAAGAGCAGGGACCTTTTATCTGTGAGTGTGTTGCAAGAGGTGTGCAGCCTTGGAGGCTGAGGGGCCACCCTGGGATCACTCTGGAATCGGTGGGAGGCTGATGGTTGTTAAAGATAGCAAAGACCTGGGCACTGAGGGATGTTCTACTGGGAAGAAATCCTTCCCTGGGAGGGTCTGAGGCCCTGACACAGGGTGCCCAGAGCAGCTGAGGCTGCCCCTGGATCCCTGCAAGTGTCCAGGGCCAGGTTGGTCATTGAGGCTTGGAGCAGCCTGGGATAGTGGAAGGTGGAAAGCCCCAGGTTGGAATGAGATGGTCTTTAAGGTCCCTTCCAACAATGACTCTGTGATTCCCTGATTCTCAGGCTGCAGTGCTGGACACTCCTGGGGCTGTCACTCCTCAAGGACTGGCCACACCTTGGTGTCCCCACCAATGCCAGGTGAGCAGCAATCCCAGCTC